TGTTTCGTTCCACACATAAAACTCTGTGAGTAGAAGGCTTCTGGCCCCCTTGTCAGAGGTAATTTCTCAGGGCTCTGCACAGGATTTAACGGGAGCCATATGGTTAAGTCCATCAACCCTCCCAGAAAGCATCCCCCTGAAGGGCCCTCGTAAATGTTCTCGGGACTGTGAGAGATCCAGCAACTTTCTAACAATAAAGCAATGTTCATAGCCGTGATATGCAGCAAAACACAAAGCAGGAAATAATGGCTTCTGTCTGAATTACTCAAAGAGGGCTTCACGCTGTCCTGACAAAGGACTGTGGCCAGTGACAACCCGCTATCTGCTGGCTTGCAGCCTCCAGCGGGAAGAGGCCGAGCTGGTGGCAGGGGCACTAGCCTGTGGTGGGCAGCCACAGCGCCATCCTGTTTGTTGGTTTGTGCAGTGTACGGGCACACTTAATAATGAATTTCTATGAATATGCATTTACAAAGCAAACGCATTCTTAAACTGAAAATTGCTTTGCTATTTAAATCTTCTTTAAATCGTACCTTTCTGTCTTTTGCAGAACTGTATTCTTTTTTTCCCAGAGCAACACTGACACAAAAATCCTCAAATCAATTATCATTCTTGTTTCATGAACACCTCAAGCAGCACCACCAATTCATTTATTGTTGTTGTTGTTGTTGTTGTTATTATTATTATTTTCCATGGTCATATCCTTTGAGATATCCCTCATAGGCCCCATGACCCAGAGTACGAGGGATTTCAAAGAGAAAAAGAGAGAAAGAAGCACAGAAAGAATGAGAAAAGACACAGTTCATGATGAATATTGACATCTTTTAATTTTTACATAAAACAAGACCTGATTTTGTAATATTTTATGAATTTCTAGCTACAAATTCAACCTATAATATCTAGCTACAGCCCCATGCAGGCAGAGTTCCTGGCCAAAGAGCTAAAAGTAGCTACACATCCCATAGACGTGTGTTTACCAGAATTAAAACTGCTGTGAAATCAAGGAAGAGTTTCACATATAAATGTCTTCATGTACGCATGCTATTGAATATCTTTTCAAGTTTCCTGATATCTTAATTAGAACATTTCACAATGGGCCAAACTCCCATGTCCAAACATCAGCTTTGGCAGGAATATTTGTATTTTCTAATGTTAGACAAATCACAACTTCATTGTAAATGATTAACTATCAAATAAGTTTCTCTAACAATCTAATGAGCTTATATATTTGCCCAATTCCTAGGGAAAATTTAATTTGCTGGACATTTTGAATATAGGAAGAAAATTTGAAAACTCATTTGGCAGTGCCTCCCATCACCTGCTACAAACTCCTTGTCAATATCCACTCATATAGAACTCCACAATTTTTATTATCTGTGTTGTTCTACTGAAGAATTAGCAAGCATGAATTACCTTCAAACATTTACTCCAAAAAAGAGAAATAGGATTCTTTAGGAAAGCTAGACTCTATTGAGATTAGACTCTATTGAGATTAGACTCTATTCATCTGATTTTTAGCTTCTACAAAAATGTCTCACATGAGAAGAGAGATACAGACAATGAGAAAGACAGACTAAAAATACAAAGAAAGAAAATTTATACCATCACTACCTGCTCATTCACTATTTGCCAAAGGCTTTGCTGATTTGATCCTGAATAAATGAGTCTGTTACATGATATCTAATAAAAAAAAAATGACTGGAGTAGAGATACTGCTTGTAATCACCCACATATTTGGTCCAAGGCTGAACTGATTTCATATATATTTAACACATGCTTGTTTTCTGTCTCACTTGTCTCCTGCACAGCTCGTGGTTCACCCTCTTTTTCCATCTGGAAAACTTATCTCCTAAAATGCTACCATCAATCAGCCAAAGACACTCTTCCCGACAGAGCGTCTGCCAGCTTGACTAAGCACAAGTAGTCACTAGTTTGGGGATGCCTCCCACACTCCAGTGCCGTGTGTTTTTCTAGCCTGCCTAACCACACAAGTGCAATTTAGGATATTTATACTCACCTCTAGTTTCTATTGGGATAACAGCACCACTCGGACAGACCTAGGCATAAGCCATGGTAGGGGTTCACATGGGGTGGACTAGATGTAACCCTGTTATCTGCCTACTTTTAACCCTATTGCTGGGGAGTTGTGCATATCCAACTATTTTGGTCTGCTTTGGCTCAGTCCCTGCTCAAAAAAGTCTGAAAATCAAATGTTCATGAGAATGTATATACTTTGTCCCCCAAATCTTCCCCGGGAACCAGCACTATTCCCATTTCTCAGTCCCTCACGTCGATACCAATCCCAGCATATTCAGGCCTCTACATGCAAATACAACATGAAAATAAGGGGTTAGAAAAGCGAGCAAAAGAGGGGTTGGCAGCAGAACTGGAGCACTGGTCGAAGGGAAGGAAAAGAGGGGAGCAGGAGACAGAGGACCCCCTCACCCACAAAGTTCCAGTCATGACCACACCCACTGGCTGCAGCAAAAGAGCACTGTGCGTGGGCACAGGTGGGTCCCAGCCTCTCCGGCTGGATGCAGCTTAAGCACTGAGCCTGAATGAAGACTTTCATTGCTGTTTGCTGTTTTTGTTGGCCAGTAGCCATGGCAAACATTTGCAGGTGGCTTGGCCAGATTTTGACACTTAAATATTTGAGGTTGTGATAAAAATCAGAATATTACTACAATATGGTTCTGTGCAGCCTCAAAAAAAAAAAAAAAAAAAAAACTATCTGCAATTTCAAATGCTCATTTAAAGACACAGTCTCCAGAGGGAACTCATGTTTTAAAATAAGTACTCATTTCCTCTTTGCCGAGAGAAATAAAAGAGTCAACCATCCCCAAATGTTACCACCTAGAGTTTCATTCTGAATCCACTGGTGAGATGGGTTGGGTTGCTGCTTGCTGAGCCCCACGATCATCCGGACAAGGTTTTGGATGGGTCACATGGAGAAAATGGAAATGACAGGATGTGTGGGTTGGAATCAACATGGTAAGCACAACAGGGAAGGAGCTGAAGAAAGGAAAGGGCCTCCCTCAAGCTTGGCAATGAGACAGAGTCCTAAAGTGACAATTATCTCCTAGAACACACCAGGAGAGACATACAACACCCCAGGATTGTGAATAAATGGGAAGACAGGGTGGGTCGGGAGGTCACATACACCAGAGAAACATCCCCACCCACCCCAGCAGAGACCCAGCCCAGAAATGTCTCCCAAATGCACAGGCCTGGGCTGGCTGGGTGAGTTATTGACAGAGTCAACACCCATCTGAAAATGTAGTGCTATCCCTAAAAAGATTGTTTCACAAAACCCAGCATTCTACTAACAATGGCCAAAGACTAAGGGCCTCCAAGAGGGTAGTTAGTTGGTAAGGAGGGATGGGGGCAGGGGAGGCTGAACTCCAGGGGGAAAGGAATGCTGTAAAACTGCTAGTAAACTCTAGCACATTTTATGTTTTTCCCCTTGAAAAAAAATAATTATAACTAGCTGGCCTAACTGTGAATTGTCTGCCCAACGCCAAACCAGTAGAATGAAGGAGTCCCTTGAGATTTCGATGCTGTCTTTTAGGATCCACCCCACCCTCTTAGTATATTATAGGTTCTTGCTTGCAATGGCGGCAACATTTGCTCCCATACTCATTTGCAAAGAAAAGAAATCTTTAACAGAGACACTTGCTAATTTAGCCTTAGCTTCTTGCACAAAGGCAAGCATTCAAATAACCAGATTAATTTTCTGTTTCTGAAAGCGAAACCAAAATGTCCCCACGGCAACTCACAAGAGTTGTTGTGACCAGCTCTAATTTATTAAAATGAGTCTTTGCACGTCATGATCCATCCTGATAAATTGAAAAATGTGAAAGACACAGTACCCCTTTGACAGCATTCTAAGAAGGAATATTTCAGTGCCATCTTTAGAGCTCATTCTTAGTCTAGAACAAGGGGGGAAAGACACTGAAAAATTCTGGGACAGTTATTAATTTCTTAAAAGAAATTACCATATCCATATTCAGCTCAACATTCAAAATAAATTCTGATTCATATACCAAGCACAGCAAGCTCCCTTTCATATTTACACAGAGAATTCTGGGAACATAGAAAAACCCATTCTCAGCATCCAACAATATTAATTTATCATCACACTCTGACTTAAGTTATTACTTTTTCTTCCTAAGAACTTAAGTGCTCTTAAATCTTTTATTTCCGCTTCACTTTGCTCTAAATGTGGGAGAAAAGACACCATCCTCATTCTGGAGATAGGGAAGCTGGGTCAGAGATTCCGCTCTTCTAAGAAGTTCCTGAGTAATGCCCCTGCCTCTGGTCCTCAGACCACACTCTGAGTCACCAGAGTCATTACATGGTACTCCACAGTGAGAGTTCTTTCCATCCATTATACAGAGTGTCTGCGATTGTGACAGCTTGTTTCTACCAATTTTCGCAATGCCTTAGTATTTTCTTTTTCACATAAATGAAGGAAGAGGACCTGCTTTCATTGTTTTGTTTATGCCAGAATGAGTATGGACCAATGCAGAAGGAAGGGAGAACTAACAAGGAGATATTATTTTAACAAAGAAGAAAGCAGGGACAAATGAGCAGAGGGAAGGTGGACCTCAGAAACACAGAAAAGAGATAGGTGATGGGCCTAGCCACTCCTAGGACAAGGGGAGGGGGCTGGGCTGCTGAAACCTTTCTCCACCATCCTTGAACATTTGTCTCGAGAACCATGCTCTGGTCTCTGTAACACCCACAGCATTTCCCACTGTCATCTTCAAGTTCATAAATCTTGTTTGAAGAAATAAAAACAAGGAACTTTGCTCTTCTTCACAAAGTTCAGAGCCTACAGTTCCCACCAAACTGATACTCCCTCTTTTTTCTCCCATCGAAAGCATCACTCTGAGCTCTAGGCAATATTGTGCCAGCCAGGGAAAGCAACTTCTCTCTCATACAATCTGAGCACCAAAACATGAAGAAAGTTCGGAACATTCCCTGAGCTCCAGCCAGGACCCAGAGGCAGCCGAGGAGGTCTCTTACCCGATCTGGCGGTTGGTAGAAGGCGCCTGTGTGATGACAGAGCTGGACTGGGGTGACGGCATGGCTTGCTGAATCACCACGCTGGTGTCATGGCTGGGCATCCGGGTGCTGCCAAGCTGGTGAGCTCCGGGCCCCGCCATGGCCCCACCAACTGTGCTATGCATTGAGATAGTCTGCCCAAGAAGACAGAGAGGAAAGATCAGAAGAAAGTCAGTGTTTTTTCCTACTCTCAAGCTCTCAAAGGCCAAAATTAGAATCTAGTCTGTCAACTAAACAGGGAGTGATGGTCTCTGGCAAGTCATGAGTCCATTCATCTTGTTACAACTTACAGCAACAGGGAGATGAAAAATAACTATCCACACTAAGTGGTAAATACCTTGAAGTTCACTAAGCATTCTGTCGCCATCCTGATGTGAAGTTCACACAAGGGGCATTTAGCGAGTATCTCTTCTGACTTGCTGTGATATCTACTACATCTGGAAATGATTTTTGTGGTAAGTGCACAATATTTGATATAGTGAATCCTGCTTTGAATGACAAACACACTGGGTTGTTTTTCTTTTTCAGTCCTAAAAGAGTGTCCAACGACCTGTATTTTTTCAGGAAATGACTACTTTTCCAGATCATAATCTGAGCAGCCATAGGGGATGAACCATGGGGAATGAAGCATGGATGAAGCCATAAGGGATAAACAACCTGGGGGATGAAGATGGACAACTGGGATAAATGGTGGGGTGTCTGAGGTCCAAAGACAGGAGACCAAGCACTGCAAAAGATCAGCATCTGACAATTTTATGGAATATAGAACAATGATGGCTTGTCCCTTGACTTGTTCATTGCTGGTTCTTCTAGAATATAAAGTGTGTTCACAATTTTGTCCCACGGCACGTGGTGTATACTAGGTATTCAGTTGTCATATGTTGCATAAATAAGTTACTGAAGAAACAAATGACCCAGCTGTGTCACTTAAGTGATCAAATATCATGATTTATTTCAGATGACTTCAATGAAAGTTTCTTCGTCTAACATTCAAAAGTAAGGTAAGAAGTGCAAAATAAGACTGACTTAAAGGCTGTTTTCTCCTAGAAAAGAAAATCACCGGGACAAGAGATGAATCATATTGAGGCAGAACAGGGCTGGTTCACACAATGTGGCTGAAATGTGAGAATGAATTTCAGACCCTAGAAAAGAAAAAGAAAGTGCAGGGCAAAGACAGGAAGTAAGTGGGCCTTTATAAACAGTCAGGTACAGCTCTCCAGTCTGGTAGGGTAGGGCAATTTGAGAGGTCAGTTGGACATTGGGCTAAGGATGGAAGGAAACAAATAAATGGAGTATCACTAGCAATTTACTAGAAAAAAGAATATATATCTGTCTGCGCTTTGGGGTTAGCAAAGAAAAAAATAAATGTTGCCCAGGAGAACCAGAAGTGGGTCTTTGAAGTTCTTCTGCAAAGAACAGGATTTCCCACACTATGTGTTACATGATGGTGATAACATATATGGTATTCGGGGTGGTTGTGTCCATCACATTGCACCTTTCCCAGGTTTCTGATTTCTAAATCCTGACCACACAGTTTGACGGGAGACCAGATGGAAACTGGGCACCTGGCTCAGACTGTGAGTATAGCTGCGGGATCCCAAAGGCTTGTACAGTCTCATATACACTGGTCTAAGGCTCCTCCTATATACTGGAAGGCCTTTCTGATGAGGGAAAATACTGTGTTGGTTAAAGAAAGATGAAAGGAAATGGTGATTTGTGTTAGGGCAGCAGCAAAGGTATATACTTGAGTTCTTTTTATAGGATCTAGGAATTTAGAGACTCAAACTGAAAATAAACCTAATCCTGTTATTTCTTTTGAAAGTGAACCTTAACAAGCTTTTTTCCTCAGGTCTTAATAAGGGCTGATGAAGTTAACACTTACAAGCATTATGTTTTCAATTGTCTGGCTCCTCAAAGATAACAAAATTTTTCATATTTCTCACAGCTACCTATTTTATCAGTAATAGATGCAAGGCACAGAAAAGATTTCTGACTTTCCTTTAAGAATTTTTTCTGCATTGCTGTGCTAGCAAAAGTTATCAATAAAACTGTATGATTTAATTTGTTTTATGTTTATTAATTGATTTTTTAATTTAATTTTTGGACAATACATGATTTCTCCCCTAAGGTGTGCTCCCCATATTTCTCCTACCACCAAAGCACCCACAGCCCATCACCATATTCCCCTGTGCTCTTCCCCACCCCTGTTTTTACCTCTCTCTTCCCTACCTCTGTCCTCCTCTTCCCCTCAAGGATACCTCATATCTAGAGTCAGTTTTCAAAGTTTGTCTTTGACCCTTGGTTTGGTTTTTCTTATTACACATATAAGTGAAACCATCTGATATTTATCTTTTTCCTTATGATTTATTTCATTTAGCATCAACCCTTCTAGCTCCATCCTTGTTGCCAAAAATGGCAAGAACTTATATATTTTGATCACTGACTAGTATTCCATTGTATATATAAACCATATCTTCTTGATCCATTTGTCTGTTTTGGGACATTTAGGTTTTTTTCCATGTCTCAGCTATTGTAAATATTGCTGAAATAAATAAAGGAGTACAGGTTTCCTTTTCAACTAATGTTTTTGTGTCCTTTAGGTAGATTCCTAGCATTGGAATAGCTAAGTCATGTGACAGATCCATTTGTAGTGTTTTGAAAAACCTCCACACAGTTTTTCATAACGGCTTGACTAATTTATGATTCCACCAAAGCTGTACAATTTAATTTTTAAATAAGAATCTTTGCAATCACATACAAGAATATCAAATGTACAAAACCTTCTGGAGTCACCCTTCCTACCTTCTTTCTATCACTCCTACATATAATCGTCAAGTACTACAAATTTAACCTGCGCATTCTTTTATCTCTTTCTGTCTTTCCAACTCTCCTTCTACTAACCTGCACCCAACCATCAACATCTCCCTTCCTCCTCTTTCCTATACTATGGTCACAGTGATCATTTCAAAAAGCAAAACTGGGGCCTCCCTGGTGGCGTAAGGGGTTAAGCACCGCACTATGAAGCAATCTGCAGCCTCTGCAGCACAAGTTCGATCCTAGGCCAGAGAGAAATCCACATGGCGCAGCAGACCTCTCCTGTCTCGCCCACTGTTTCCCTCAGCAGTGTATTTCAGTCAGTCTGCCTGTTCTGTTCCCCATTCTGTCTCTTTTGAATCCTCTCATCCCCTGCATCTCTGGCCTGTACCCCAGCTCTTGTATGCATAAACAAATAAATCTTAAAAAAAAAAAAAAGCAAAACTGGTCACAGCACACACAACTCCTACTACATTGCTACCTGCAGTCCCCCAGGTTTTCTGGGTGGTGGCCCGAGGTTCAAGGTCCAAGATTCAAAGATCCTAACAGCATCTTTTATGATGCCATGAAGAACATTTCCTACCTCCCAGTTCACCTCATACCACCTTCACTTTTATTCTGTGACTCACTCTACATTTCTGGAATCTTCCTGCTCTCATAGCTGATGAGGTTCCATTTTAGTGCAGCACCTTGGAATAGATTGTTTTCTGCTACCAGTGCTCTGTCCCTGACTCCACCTTCAAATCCCAAATAAAGCATCTTGTGACGAAGCTTGCTTTGACCTCCCCAAAGATGGGCACTGTCTCCCTCTCCTTCATAGCACTTCTCACAAGTTTATAATTGCTTCTTATTATTTAATTCCTATCTGGACTTCCTCTGCACAGTGAGAGAAGAGACCTAGTCTGACTCTAATGCCTACTCTATCTCCAGTGTCTAGGTCAAGGTCTGGCATAAAATAGGAGCTCAGTAAATGCTGAGTGAATGAATAAACTATAAGATAACATTTCTAAGCCATTCAATATGATAAAATGTATCTTCTATTCCAGAATCATTGTTAAAAGTACTAACTTTTTGTACATTCACCTTGAAATCTGAAGGTATGCTCGCAATTAATAGAATTTTTCATGTAGAGGTACTTGTTAAATTATAGGCTAGAGAAATAGAGAGGATCAGGAAGAAGAAGGTAGCCACAAACAAATGGTATGAAGATTAGAAAGCAAAGTCTTCAAGAAAATATTAAATGAGATCTTGGAGAAATATGCCAAGTAGAGAGCTACAAGTCTCTGAACACTTTGGCTCAAATGATGGTGACAACCACTTGTTATCTCCACCATGAAAACTAAGAAAAACTGATTTATGCTGCAGTACAAAGAAATGGGTTTGAATTCTTCAGAGTAAAGCACGTTATATGAAGAAAATAAGAACCCACTCCCTTACGAAAAAAAAAAAGTTTAGGGATTTACACTGAAAATCATGACAAAGACTGAAAAATACCATCTAATCTATACCTCACACCCTCCCCCACTAACGCTTTTAAGACATCTCTTCACCTCTGTGATCTCCAACAGAGACAGAAAAGTTTCATTAAAGTTATATTCTATTTCTTCAATAACCCCTTTTCTCCCCCATACATGAAACCTGCAAATTCCTCCCAGATCCAGAGTAATTTCAAAACATTTTAAAAAAATAAACAAGTAGGCAAGCATTGTCATTTCATGTTAAGAGAAGATGACTTTTTTCTTTAAGCATTACATAGTAACTCAAACATGAAATTATTTTCTGAGCTCACATTTTCCCAATTACGGTTTCAAAACCTGCCTTCATTGATAAGAGAATGACATTTTACCTCCTGATAAATTCAATATCCAATTTCAAAAACACAAAGCGTGACTCTTGCCAAGTTAGTTTTGCTAAGATAGGTAGGTAGATTTGGAGCTGGTGAAACAATGTCACCAACTAGTGGAGGGACATCAGTTCGCAGGGAGGCTTGGAGGTGCTCCTCCAAGATCAGCCTTTGACCCCTTTCAACATTTTTATCAACAGCTTGGATGAAGATGTAAAAATCATGCTTGTCAAATCTGCGGTTGACACAATGTTGGGAAGCATAGCTAATGTTCTGGAGAGTAGAATCAGGTTTTACTTGAGCCAACTGTGTGATCTGGCCTCCAAAAATGCTAACATAAATCTAGGTTTGTTGTAGAAGAAGTGCAACATCCAGATCAAGGGAAGTAATTATTCCACTGTAGAGCACGTTGGACTGACCACATTTGGCCACCACATTTTAAGGGGGAAATTGACAAATAGGAGGGAATGAAAGCAA